CGCTCCTTCATGCTGCCCGATCTCCTCAGCTCCACAGCATGTCCCTCCTTCCTCCCGGGTTTCGGCACCAATTTAACAAAGTTCGTAGATCAGGAAGAAGGAGGCGGGAACCAGCGAACATTGAAACACAAAACTTTAATAAACAAATAAACAAACACAAAACTAAAGTAAAAGCGGCAGCCCCTCACAGACGACTGCCACATAAAACATAATAAAACAACAACATAAAGTCCAGGCCTGGTCCTCTGTCGTCCAACACTCGTCACTCCTCCTTTTATTCTTCCAGAGCTCCTCCATGGGACTCAAGACCGGTGAATAGCGCAGGTGTCGCTAATTATCATTAACTCCACCAGCCTCGCTCCATTCCCACGGATCTCAGCCCCGCCCCACTCATCACAACCGGTAATACCGGTATCACCAGGGGAGGGGGGGGGGTGTAGTTTGTTGGAGGTTTTCCTCTTTTCCTCGATTTCCTTCGCTTTTAAATTGTTTGTAAATGCCTGTGCGCATTTTACTTTCACTTTTAATTTAGCGGCAATTCAGTGTACAACGACAAACTCACATATATTAAAAATATAACTTTTATTAACAAAACAAATAAAAATCCATCATGCTATAGGCCTAATATAAAATAACAAATAACTTGCACAAATTTTAAATATAAAAAAACTGAAAATCAGCAAACACTGTGGAAACAAATACATAAGAAACATACACTGTTTCTTAGCAAAAGCGAATAAGAAGGCTTGGAGGCATGGCATACACTTTGATGTAAAATAAAATAAAAAATACACACATTTTAAATAAGGTAAAAATCAGCAAACACTTTGGTACAAAAAAAAAAAAGAAATCTAAAAAAAAAAGCCTTCTACCTTAGATAAACGGAAAAAGACAACAGGCTTTTCAAAATCCAAAATATTGCCAAACAGGTGCTTTTGCATTTCATTTTGAAACTAAATATTTTGCCACCGGAACACCTAGCAACCGTCTGTCAATCTCTTGAAACACTAGCAACCAACCAGAACAGCATATTAACCACCTAGAACACCCTAGCAAACTAGGGCTGCACGATTAACACTAAATATTGCGTAAATCGACCTGTCTAGTGTGATTATGATATCGCAAAGGCTGCGATTATGTTTTTATGCGCAGCTTGTCCATGAAGCATGGCTCTTTGAGCCGTAGGAAGTGATGCTCCGTCTGAAATCACTATGAGTTTGAGTCACTTATAATGTGCATTTGTAAAAGCAACACTCGTCATACATCATCATATATAAATATAATTTATTATCATGAAAATACCTGAGAAGGCTTGAAGAACAGTGATAGAAAGATGCCCATAGGCATTTCCTGGAATTAAGCACGTTATGGTACTTCTTCTGCGGGGCATATTTGTAGTTTCTGCACGAGAGCGCCCTCTGGCTTTTAGATGCAGCAGAATTCAACCATACTTCACTGACAAGCTGTGCATAAAAAAAATCGCAGCTAACCGCCAAATCGCGTGTTTTATTTTCGATTTATCCTACTAGCAACCAGAACATGTGAGCAAAGCGGAGCGGTGTGACGCTCCGCTACGTTTTCCGCTCTATGGACGTGCGCTCCACTCAGTCGCTCTAACCACCAAAGCAAGTGCTACGTTAATATTCCGCTCGCGCTCACCGTAAACCAATTCCCGCTCAGATCCCGCTTCATTCTGTAAAGAACAAATTTGCGTGCATTATATTAGATTATAAATTACTGCTGCCTATATCTAGCCTACATTCTGAAGGACTACCTATTATTTCGGGTCAGTTTTTTTTTTTAAATAATATTTTAATAGGCCTAAGTGGTGTAGGCTAATATCTTCTGTACTCTGTAGTTCTGTATTTAGGCCTATATACAGCTGTGTGTTAGCTTAGGTCTATAGTTTAACTGAGATTATTTAATAACTACGAAGCTCAGAATATAATTTGAATTAACAATTCATTTCTATGACGTCAGCAGGTTTTATTATTTTTTAAATGTATTATTATTTATTAAGTTTAAGCAATAATGATTTTAATAAGTAATTACGAAATATAATAATTTGTTCCACGATTTAGGCCTACTATAGGGAATGAACGAATTAACGAACGAATGAATTCGTGGCAGCTAAGCCTAAACAAGAGAACAAATACTTAATTTGTGGCCATAATTTAGACTAAACGAAAAAATTTATTCTTAATTCGTGGCCATAATGTAGTCCTAGCATAAAAGAGAACTAGCCTATTCTAAATTCGTGGCTGTGATTTTGTCTGCATGTCATGATCGGAGCTCCGTACAACCGAATATAACCTTAGCCTACCTGTTTATTCATTTATTATGGTATGTAACTAGCTCACCTTTTGCTGCACCATGTTTGCATACATCTTCGTGCTTTCTGTAATCAATATGAATCTTTACTAACTTTAACAGTCTCCCCGCACGCCCTCTCAGTTTCTTCTCCCTGCTCATTCTTAACTTTGATTTTTACTTTACATTTATGTATAAGGCTTGCAACTTCGTTGAAACAATATCTGAACTCCATAACTGCTCTACTATTCTCGATCTCTACAGATTCTCGATCTCGAACAAGCAAATCACCAAATGGCATTCTGGGTTGAGCGAATCACTGAGCGTATTGAGCGAGCGGAGCGGAATCTTCAGAAATGCACTCTGCGCTCTTAAGGAAATATTACCACTCCGCTCACATGCTCTGCTAGCAACCACTCAGAACACTGCAGAAACCACATACCAACTTCTCAAAACACCCTAGAAACCACACAGAACAACCTTGCAACCATTCAGAACACCCTACCAACCACCCAGAACATCCCTACCAACCATCCAGAACACCCTAGCAACCACCCAGAAAAGCCCTCTCAACCACTTTGCACCCTCTAGTTAACCCTTCTGACTCATATTATGTGTATTATAATGTATTTATGTTTGTGTTTGTATACTGATAGCACTTTCCTCAATCTACATTCATCAAGGCCACATTTCTGAATAGATGGCTGTCGGAGTGACATTTAACTCAAATTCTAAAGGGGCTGCTGACTCTTAAAGGCCACAGTGATCTCTCTACTTGGTAACCTTTACTTTTAAATATTTAGAAGTTCATTTACATGCAAAAGAGCACAGAACGCATCCATGGATAAGTGCTGTAATTTGAGAATGGAGTCATTTAGTTACATAGACTCTGCAACCACATGGCGACAGAGTGTGAAGGTCACGCTGTTATGACTGTAGATATTTGAGGGCTTCTTACATAAGACTTCAGCCATATTCATCTGCTTTTTAATCTTGAGTTGCTTTTCATCACACAATGAACACAGTCATTTACCTTTATGTGAGTTTAACTTGCTCAGATTTTGGGTTAGGCATTTTTCAAATAACCTTAACATAAGTATTAAAATATAAAGTAAAGCAACCATCCATAACACCCTAGCAACCTTCTATTAACAGCAAACAACAAGAACACCCAAGCACCCCACTTGAAACATCCTAGCAACCACCCAGACCACCATAGTTACCACCTAGAACACCCTAGCAACCATCCAGAACATTCTAGCAACCACCCAGAAAAACCCTTGTAACCTGTCAATGCACCATGGCGACCACTCAGTTCACATAACAACCACTCAGATAAACCCTGGCAACCATCCAGAACACCCAAGAACCCACTTATAACTTCCTAGCAACCACTCAGAACACCCTAGCAACCATCTACCAATCTCTCAGAACACCCTAGCACCCTTCTATCAATCTCTTAAAAACAAGCAACCACCCAGAGCACCATAGTAACCACCTAGAACAGCCTAGCAACCATCCAGAACATTCTAGCAACCATCTAGAAAAACCCTTGCAGCATGTCAATACACCATGGCAACCACTCAGATCACATAACAACCACTCAGATAAACCCTGCAACCATCCAGAACACCCAAGAATCCACTCATAACTTCCTAGCAACCACTCAGTACACCCTAGCAACCATCTATCAACCTCTCAGAACACCCTACCAACCACACAGAATGCCCTAGCAACTGCATGGCAACACACTAACAGCCACCTACAAATAATTACTTTGGGGGCAATTTACAAATAATGCTGTATGCAGGAAAACAGTGCACTCATGTAAAATAAATGAATAAATAAATACATGTATTATAGCAAGTATAATGTGATCAACATTGTTGTGCAAGTTATACAAAAATAATTATTACCTACTAATTACGTCTTCAACATTGTAATTAGATTACTGTACAAATTACTCTCTCTAAAAAGTATTTGCATTAATAATTAATTTCTAAATCCCATATCAAACACGTCCAGTTGAACATTACAAGGATAGACATGAAACTGCTCTTAATTGTTTTGAATAAATAATATAAAACTGCATAAATTATATAAAGTATTTAAAGGGAGGTTACATTAAAAACATACATTTTAACATTAGATGTCAGATTTTGATGTTAAATCCACTATTGTTTTATATACAGAATTATTCTAGTCTATATAGTATTGAATGCATTTACAGTTATTAAGTAACTGTTATTAAATGTAAGAGTAATCCCTTACTTTTTTCAATGGAAAAGTAATTCAATTACAGTAATTAATTACTTAGTAACAATGTTGATCAAAATGATAATATATAACTGTATCAGAATCAGAATCAGAATCAGAATGAGTTTTTATTGCCAGGTATGTTTACACATACGAGGAATTTGTTATATTTTGTGCATTATTTCAGTATCAAAAAAACTTTTTATTTATTGAATAAAGAGTGCATTTGGTAATTAAATGAAATCTGTGGCATTTTAATGGCTTTAATCATCTGATTGTGGACGTTCTCTGTTCCATACCAACAAACTTCATGTCCTAAAAAGTGTCCCCATCAGGCCTCCTGAGAGGAATCAATGAATTCCTCTCATTTTCAGCAAGAAAAAAAGGAAGAAATTTCAAATGAAAAGCTATCTTTTATCTTTCTCTCCTTGCAGGTCCGGCTGCTAAGACGAAATATGTAAGCTACAATGACCTTGTGATCTGAGGTTCTCCATCACAGGAGGAAGGTGATTGATGGTACTTCCTGGTTTCTCTTGGCTCTTTGGAACAAAAGTAAAGCGGGAAAAAGCTTTCAATGTCCCTCTGTTTCCATCCTTATTTCGTCTGAGGGCCAGGACAGTGATTGGGCCCTCAGCTAAACCAACGACTGAGGGTATCAGTTGATTTTCGGCACCTTTAAGAAACATAAAACAGCAAAACCACATCCCAAAAAAAAAAAATTTTAATAACCTGACATCTACAAAAAAAGTAACGGTAACAGGAATTACAACTGGAGGAAATAAATTTAGTTGTTGTTTGTTTGTTTTTTCTGACGGAGGGAACTGATGGGGTGTAACAGTGGCACAACACGACTGATCGCCAGTCAAACGATTGAGGTTGCACTTGGCGTGATGGACCTTCGACAAGGCGTTTCTTCTGATTCTCCATCGCAGACTTTCTTCAAGGCGCTGATGAATCAACATGGCTTTGGAATGCTGGGCCTCAAGGTCCTCCTCATCTTTACATGTACTTCCAAACTGCAAGTTTTTGCGATTTTCTGTGCAAATTTGTGTGGTTCTTTCAACATTTCGGTTTCCTTCTGCTGATTTTACGTTTCAGTTGAGCTTTTCTTCTTTGGTTTTCCTTGCCTTTTCTGGATGCACATTGTATTAAAGCCATATTCTTCTCTTTGAGATCTCATTCCTGGAATATTGTTTCTTTATTATGAGGATTTCCGTTGGTTTTCGCCCTTTAACATGATAAATGTGTCACATTTTTCAACATTCCCACCGTGTTTGTAAGGGTTTGTAGACCATCGACTGTGTTTTTAGAGACTTTGAGAGATGTTGCATTGGTTTTACAGTGACTAAACCCCGGTGACGATGGTTTCAGAGTTCTTTTTTAAAGAAAGTGTTCGCGTAGCAGTTGTCAATGCATGCTTGATATGTTTGATGTTGAAGTAAATGAAACTTTCACCACAGTTCCCTCACAATGGTCTGTTTACAGATGATTTTACAAGCCTTTATTGATTTCTCTCTTTTTTCCTTCATGAATTTCTTAGACATTCACTCACTCAAGGCAGAATATGGCTTTAATTTGTCTTGGAATTTTTATCTGCCCTGGAACTTATGGAGAATTGTGCAAAAGATATGAATATATATTTCAAAAAATCTATGAAAAAAAAATAAAAAGCATGTATGTTTTATACTGTTTGTACTAAGTATATTCATGTTGCCCTTGCTGCTTATGTGCTGATATTGTGGAAGACTTTTATGTTTGGCCACTCATGCAACTATAATGTGGTGTTGTCTAAGAATGTACCAACATGAAATAAAACCATTTGGTTATTTTTTATTACCTTTATTATTATTATTATTAGTCTTGAATTTGCATGCTTGAATTTATTATTTCATTAAAATGGCTCACAATATAGATAACTGAAAGTAAGCCAATTTTTAGGTTAATGTCTTACGGAACATGAGTGATCACTTTGGAGCCAAGGGCATCGTATAATGAAATATATAATATAGTAAAATGTATTTAATTTTGTTGTTTAATTGCTATATTATATTATATTATTAACTTCTTGTGGTTTATAGGTCGGTTTAAAAAAAAGAATAATATAAAAATGCAATATAATTAAATGTATATGTTTTATATTAAATCTATAATTTATATTTAAATTATTATTAGTAGTAGTAGTAGTAGTAGTATTAAATTATTTTTATATATGCTGTACTACTTTATATATGAAATGTTTGTGATTTATAAGTTGCTTTATATTATATACTAATATATAGTTTCTATTATATAAAAATCATGCAATCTATAGGTTGGTTTTCAAAATATATATATATTATAATTATATTTTTTATAATATGCTATATTACTGTACGAAATGCTTGTGATTTATAGGTTTTCAAAAAACAAATAATATAAAAATACAATATAAGACATTTATAAAATGTATTATATTATATTATATTACTACCTGATATAATATAATTACATTGTATTATATTACTTACTGAATGGCCGTCTATGGAAAAAAAGATGATTTTTGTAGTCAAATGTTGTAGTAACAGTATCTGCCAGCAGGGGCTAAAGGTGCTACGCTAACCAAAAACTCTTTCATTCAGATTCAGTTCAGACTATGACTTAGGTAAGCCTTGTCCCACATGGGACAGCGATGGAAACTCTTCTGTTTAAATTTTAGTGTTGGAAAGCATCTTCTGAATAATAAAATGGGATCAAAGCTGCCTTTGATTGGCGGAGCGTTAGCACACGGACGTGTGTGCGGATGACAAGCGCTGCACTGTCAGCAGAAGGAGTTGCGTGCTGAAGCTCAGGCCTGTCAGATGATGACAGAGAAATGCCTTTCAATCACAGCTGGAGAGAGAAAGTCTAAAGTGTCTTTAATTCAGGAGGATGGAAACCTGTGTGGCTTGCAAAACACATTTGCTAAATCACTGTCACGGCTCAACTGTGTGCTAATGCATCTTTGACTTGTTTACGCCGCAGCAAATGTCACGGCTCAGTGTGTACGTTAAGGACATTAATGCATTTGAGGTCATTACTTGAGAAATATCATGCTTTAGTTTGAATCAGAATTTATGAATCTCACTGTCTGTATAAAAAACAACAAAAGACAACATTCTTGTTAGTTGTTGGTACCAGTTAGCAGGCTAGCTGGCTAAATGTATTTTAATTGAACAGTCTAATCAGCTAGTAATGGGCTAAGCTAGCAGGCTAATAAGTTAGCTCTATGGTAATTTAACAGGTTAATCAATTAGCCAAATAAGATAGAAAGCTAATCTACTGTGCATAGTATGCAAAGCTAGTCAACTAACCCACTAGCTTATAAGTTGATGCACTTGCTTATCTTACAAACTAACTGATGAAACAAAATAACACATTTTAAATTTGACCATTTTTAGCTTGTATTATAAAATATGTGACTTTCAATTAGATTAAATGACTTTAGTTTAACTTTGTTACCAGGCAGACTAGTAAGAACATTTGCGTAAAACCAGCCAATCAGACTGAAAGAAGTAATACATTTATATAGTACAGTCAGTCTTCTATATAATCAAAATAGCATTCTTGATAGTTGTTGGTAGCAGTCGTAATGATGTCAGCAGGCTAATCAGCTAATGGTATGTTAATCGAGGTAAGCTAAGCTAGGATGTGCTAAACTAGCAGGCTAATAAGTTAGCTATATGTTAAGTTAGCATGCTAATCAATTAGCTGTATAGCTATAAACCTAATCTACTGGATATATGCACAGCTAGTCCGTTAACCAGTTGCCTTACAAGTTGATGCACTTGCTTATCTTACAATGTAATAAAACAAGAACAATGGATAAGAACAGCAAATGTTAAATGTGAATTATTTTTTTTTGTTAAGCTTGTGTTATGAAATATGCAGGTTTCAGGGAGGTTCATAACTTTAAGTGATCTTTTTTACATCGTGGTGATGGTTTGGTTTAAATTGTAATCAGTTAGCAGGCTAATTGTTTAATGATATGTTAATCGATCAGTCTAATCAGCTAGTAATGTGGGCTAATGAGTTAGCTAGGGTGACCATACGTGCCATTTTCCCAGGACGCGTCCTGGCCAGGATTTCTATATTGCCTAAAATATCTAGGTTTTGGCTTTGTTTGCGTGTGCAGACCGATCGGTGTATGACATCAAAATACCATACAGATGGTTCCTTATGCTTTCAAAATGCTCTCGAGGTATTTTGATGTCATACACCGATCGGTGGAAACGTCCTGGGAAAATGGCACGTATGGTCACCCTAGAGTTAGCTATATGTTAAGCTAACAGGCTAATCAATTAGCCATATGCTAAGCTGTAAAGTTAATATTTTGAATGTACAGAATATGCAAAGCTAGTTGGCTAACCAGTTAGCTTACAAGTTGATGCACTTGTTTACAAACTAATTTTTAACTAACAAACTTTTTTACTTATTCATTGTTTCCACTGGTGGTATGTTAGCAGGCTAATCAGCTAATGGTATGTTAAAATAGCAGTCTAACCCAGGGGTGCCCAAACTCGGTCCTGGAGGGCCGGTGTCCAGTTTAGCTCCAACGCTAATCAAACACACCTGAAGCAGCTAATCAAGAGCCTTGTCCAAATACCCACACTTGCAGTCTTTGCACTTGACCACTTGACTACTTACATGACGTATTTCCTGTATTTGGCCCAAGTGCTCAAGTGAGCATGAAGACCACAAGTGCGTGTCGAACTTTTCATTACCTGATGGGACACACTTGTAGTGTTGTAAAAATGCAAGTGTTTACATAGCTTTATTTTAATTTGAAATACTTTACATTTTAAAATCAACTTCTAAATGTCTGTTCAGTAGTCCCTATAACATGACAATTTTAATTTGTGGTGCTTCTAATTAACTGATAAAAAGCAGTTGCAAATGTTGTACAAAATAAATATCACCACTACTCATCTTTGCACCAATAAAACGTAAAAACAGTGTTTTTCTACCAAATTATATGTAATATCTAATTATTATATTAATATTTAACTTGCATTGGAACGGTTTCCGCGAGATCTCGGCAAAAAGTCTCACGATTTATTTCCAGAACATGATGCATGATGGGATACACTAACCCTTGAATAGCGCTCCGGAGCGGTATTCGAGATAGTGTGGGTTTAGTGTGCGTTAAGGGCACTGCGCTCTGGCGTTTTTAAGACCTGGGACAGTCTTGCGCACTTACTTCCTGTCGCGCGCACGCGCTCTCAAGTGGCCAAGACCGCAAGTGTGGGTATTTGGACAAGGGGAAGGTCTTACTAGGCATACTAGAAACTTCCAGGCAGGTGTGTTGAGGCAAGCTGGAGCTAAACTCTGCAGGACACCGGCCCTCCAGGACCGAGTTTGGTCTAACCAGCTAACAATGGCTTACACTAGCAGGCTATGAGCTAGTTGTATGTTAAACTAACAGGCTAATCAATTGCTTAGGTAGAAAGCTAATCTCCTGCCTTAAAAACATACAAACTGACAAACAGAAAAACAAACGTTACATTTGATTATTTATAGTCTCTGTTATATAATATGTGACATATAATGCAGTTAAAAGATTTTGTTACCAGGCAGACTAGTAAGATCCTGTGCATAAACCAACCAATCAGAATGGAGATGCTATTTTTCAGCAAGCATTTGCCTTAATGTGTGTACTGTGCTTGAGAAGATACTGTGGGAGGTCTGGGCGGCCTGCTGTCTGCGGCTGAGACTATTGACTTTCATTTTGTTGATGCAAGGGAGCTTGCAAACGATACCCATAACCTCCTTCTCAAGGAACAGAACATGAACATGATTGAAATGATTATTCTCACAAAGGAAGCAAAACCAATACATCTCTTCATTTCCGCCTGGCATGGGGGCTTAAACTAAGCAAAATTGAGACCCAAAAAGACAGACTTGGCCACAAATAGACACGTTTCCATTCTGGTGAGATCTTTCCCTCTATCAAGCAAGGAATAGCAGGTGTCAATAGGACCCAATTTATACGATCCATGGGAATGAAAGTTATTAACCTGCTTGCCAGGGAATGTGTATTTGCGTCTTGGCATTTCCATTTAGTAAGGGGTGGGGGGGACTCAGGACACATTGATCTATTTCAGCTGCATCTTAAGTAAGTATTTGACATTTCATCTCAGGCATTTCTGGCTTCCATGCAACATGTTTAACTCCTTCCTTTCTGGATTATACGTTCCACATTCTGGCTATGAGCAGGATCCACAATGCGGGTAGAAATGTCACGACAGCCCTTCAGCATGAATTTTTATGATTGTACTAATGGATAAAAGATTATGTGTTTATCAGTATTTGTCTTTTCCCATTTTAACCACAGAGTTGCCCTGCAAAAATATGTATTTATTTATTTGTTTGTTTGTTCATTTCATTTCATCGCCTAACACTGTATACTGCCAAAATGGCAAAATGAATTAATGTGATACTACAGAATGTAAATTACCATGCATCCTTCCTTCATTCATTCATTCATTCATTCATGTAGCATAATATACTCTTTATTTAGTGTAATACACTGGCAAAAGAAAAGGTTTAATAGCATAAAAAAGTATTAAAAAATATAATAATATAAAATAACAAGAAAATTAATATAATACTTCTGTCAATTACCATACATTGTTTGTATGCATATTGCATAGTGTAATATAGTGACAAAATAGAGACTCCTGTGTATTATCATATATAATTGGTTTGTTTGATTGCATACATATTGCAATATACAGGCAAAATAGCAAAATAAATTAATGTAACA